CCAAATTGGCGACATCACGGACCACCGCAGCATCGTCCTCCAGCGTTGCATGCGTCCCCCGGTGGTGGGTGCATCCCCCCAGTGGTGGGTGCTTCCCCCAAGTGATGGGTGCATCCCGGTGGTGGGTGCATCCCCATGGCACAGGGTGCATCCCCCCAGTGCAGGGTGCATCCCAGTGGTGGGTGCATCCCCCTGGAACAGGGTGCATCCCCCCAGTGCAAGGCATCCCGGTGGTGGGTGCATCCCCATGGCGCAGGGTGCATCACCCCAATGTGGGGTGCATCCTCAGCGATGGGTGCACGCCCCAGTGCTGGGTTCATCCCCCCCAGTTCTGTGTGTATCCCCACGGTGGTGGGTGCATCCCCCTGATGGTGGGTGCATCCCTCCGGGCACTGGGTGCATCCCCCTGATGGTGGGTGCATCCCCCCAGTGCAGGGAGCATCCCCCAGTGCAAGGCGCATCCCTGGTGCTGGGCACATCCCTGGTGGTGGGTGCTTTCCCCCAGCGCAGAGTTCACCCCCCAAATGTGGGGTGTACCCTCACAGGTGGGTGCATCCCCCCAGTGCAGGGTGCATCCTCGGCGATGGGTGCACGCCCCAGTGCTGGGTTCATCCCCCCCAGTTCCGTGTGTATCCCCACGGTGGTGGGTGCATCCCCCTGATGGTGGGTGCATCCCCCCAGTGGTGGGTGCATCCCCATGGCACAAGGGGCATCCTCCCAGTGCAGGGCGCATCCTGGGTGGTGGGTGCATCCTCCCAGTGCAGGGTGCATCCTCAGCAATGGGTGCATGCCCCAGTGCTGGGTTCATCCCCCCAGTTCTGTGTGTATCCCCACATTGGTGGGTGCATCCCGGGTGGTGGGTGCATCTCCCCAGTGGTGGGTGCATCCTGGTGGTGGGTGCATCCCCATGGCGCAAGGGGCATCCTCCCAGTGCGGGGCGCATCCTGGGTGGTGGGTGCATCCTCCCAGTGCAGGGTGCATCCTCAGCGATGGGTGCATGCCCCAGTGCTGGGTTCATCCCCCCAGTTCTGTGTGTATCCCCACAGTGGTGGGTGCATCCCCCTGATGGTGGGTGCATCCCCCCAGTGCAGGGTGCATCCCCATGGCGCAAGGGGCATCCTCCCAGTGCGGGGCGCATCCTGGGTGGTGGGTGCATCCTCCCAGTGCGGGGTTCATCCCCCCCAGTTCTGTGTGTATCCCCACAGTGGTGGGTGCATCCCCCTGATGGTGGGTGCATCCCCCCGGCGCTGGGTGCATGCCGGGCGGTGGGTGCTCACCGCAGGGCTGCTCTGCTCTCTGCCCGCAGGCCGGAGGATGCAGTGTGCCTGTCTGTCCCAGGGGCTGCCCGTGCTGCCCGGCTCCTGTTGGCTACCAGGTGAGCGCCCGGCCGAGCCCGGCCAGCGGGGCAAGGCCCTGGGGAGGGGTGACGGGCCCACCCTCAGCACCCCACTCTCCTCCCTGCGCCCACCCGCGATCCCATCTCTCTCTGCAGACCCACAGCCGCTCTGGGATGAGGCATGGATCTCATCACTGTCCTCCCCGGTGCCAAAAAGCAGCTGCTTTGGGGGGGTTGCAGTGACCTTGGGGTGATGTCCCCTGGTCTCCGGAGAGCCCTAAGGGTGCCCCACTCGCTCCGCAGGGCTGGTGTTCCCCGACTGGGCGTACAAAGCTGAGTCCAGCCCGGGCTCCCGGCAGATCCAGTTATGGCATTTCATCCTGGAGCTGCTGCAGCAGGAGGAGTTTCGCCATGTCATCGCCTGGCAGCAGGGCGAGTACGGGGAGTTTGTCATCAAGGACCCCGAGGAGGTGGCCCGGCTGTGGGGTCGGAGGAAATGCAAACCCCAGATGAACTACGATAAGCTGAGCCGGGCGCTCAGGTGCCGCAGGGGATGGGGAGTGTGGGGGGACAGAGCCCTCGCCGTCCCGGGGGACCCAACAGGGTGGCATCCACCATCCCGAGGGGACCCTACGGCATCTGCCACCCCAAGGAGACCCCACAGGGTGGAATCCACCATCCTGGGGGACCCAACAGGGTAGAATCTGCGATCCCAAGGGGACACAACAGGGTGGAATTCACCGTCCTAAGGTGACCCTATAGGGTGGCATCTGCCACACCAAGGGGACCCCATGGGGTGGCATCCACCATCCCAAGGTGACCCTATGGAGTGGCATTCACCATCCCAAGGGGACCCAAGAGGGTGGCATCCGCCATCCCAAGGGGACCCCACGGGGTGGCATCCACCATCCCAAGGTGACCCAACAGGGTGGCATCCACCATCCCAAGGGGACTTCACGGGGTGGCATCCACCATCCTAAGGTGACCCAACAGGGTGGCATCCATCACCCCCAAGGGACTCAACAGGGTGGCATCCACCATCCCAAGGTGACCTAACAGGGTGGCATCCATCACCCCAAGGGGACCCAACAGGGTGGCATCTGCCATCCCAAGGGGACCCCACGGAGTCCCATCCACCATCCCGGAGGAACCCATGGGCTGGAATCCACCATCCCAAGGGGGCAAAACAGGGTGGCATTCGCCATCCCGGGGGTCCTCTCAGCTCGCCCGGTTCCCAGCCCTCTGTGGGGGTGTCCATCTGTCCGTCTGTCCGTTAACGCCCCCACCTCCCCCCTCTGTCTCCCCCAGGTACTACTACAACAAGCGCATCCTGCACAAGACCAAGGGCAAACGCTTCACCTACAAGTTCAACTTCAGCAAACTCATCTTCCTCCGCTGCCCGTTGTGGGACACCCCCTGCCCGGGCGCCGGCAGCCTGTGCCACCCCCCCGCCGCGTCCCCCCCCATGCCAAGCCAGGACCCCAGTCTGGCTGTTGACACCCCCTGGGGACGTGCTGCCCTTCCTCGGTGTTGCCACATCACCTTTAATCCCCCCAGTTGGTGCCGAGCGTGTTGCTGAGCCGGCGGGCGCTGGCGGAGCCGCTGGCCTG